TGAAATCGTCCACGTCTGATGAGCGATAGTGCCCCGATTCCTCTACACCCCGGCCAGTTGAGGCATTCAACCGACTTTGGTGGATTCTAACTCCAACTGACGTATTCTTTTCCGGTCTTCGGTAACATCGTCAGCCTTGATGGTCTAAACATGTAACCTACATGAAACGAGGGTTTGAACATTGAGGTAATAGCAACTTTTGTGAAGGTTTTTGAAAGCTTTTGTACAAAATACTTTTCTAAGACCATTATCTTACTTTACTTATCTCTTCTTTCTCTTTTATCAACGCAACTTTTAACAGTTGTTTTAACCGGCCTCCTCATTACCCGCTCAGTATATTTGCGGTCTCGCTCTGTGATGTTTTCAATTGTTTTTCGTTCTGTAACTGGGACCTACGACGGGTTCGTAAGTCGCAAATATGTATTGATGTATGCTTATAATAGAAACGAAATTTCAACTGTCGTTCAACTGTTTTCCTACGTGCTGGAAATTTGGTCATTCGAGGTCGAGACATTGCGATCCGTGTTGAACGTTGTTCGTATTGCCGTTACACCGGGTTCACTCGGTGATATCGGATGCTGAACTGGATATCCCAGCGCTAGAGATCATGTGAAGGGATAGAATAGACGGAATAGGTAAACGTTATGCACTCCACATTAGCGGGAAGCTAAGGGCTGTGATGATCACGGATCGTATACTAGGAAGGTTACAGGAGAGCGTCAAGGCAGCCATAAAACTAAACAACAAAAGGCAATGGCCAGTTGGCGTTTTGTATAGGCCACGAAATCGCTCAGAGCGGGCTAACTCTGCCATCATCCAAACACTAAAGCATGCCAGTGGATTGAACTACGACTACCTTTTCATAATGGGACTCGGGGACCATGATGTCATATGATTCAGGCTCGTGCACACCACGGAGCTGCTACGGTCAATAGGGTCCACTCGCTGGAACCTACTTAAAGCAGACATTTCCGGAATGTAAACCTTCCTTGATTCAGCGCCATGGCCCCCTAACTCTTCTTGCGTCAACGATCAATGGTGCGAAGTGACAGAGGGTTCGTATTTATTTCACGTTGATTTACTTATCAAATCCTTCGAAACCCACGATGATTCTATGTGACATAACTCTATCCGTGTGTCACTTATCTATTGACCTTTTTCAATCACAAAAATACACATTATTCTTTACCTGTTGATTTGATGCCAGCCAAATTTCAATTTGGCTTGGTCAGAGAACGTGAGTGACTTGTTTGCTCTCTCTAGACATCATATTTGGTTCTTGATTGCTTGAGTGCTTTTAGCCGCAAATTTGAGGTTTGCTTTATTGTAAATTTTGTCATCAGTACCGTAAAAATCTACGAATCAGCCGTGTTTTGTTTTGGTATTCGAATCGATTTTTGCTACGCGTCACTCAATTGTGATTTGGTTGACGTACACTTACCGAGGCTAGGCTTATCAGATATGGAGGTTGAGCGTGCGCACCGGAGCGATCCTGCATAGAATGGATGCACTCGAGGGCCTTGCAACGA